AGCCACAAATAAATAAAATATGCTCATTCCTTTTTCCTGTAATTTTAGTTTTCCATCTTTGTCTTCTGCTTCCTGCCGGTCCAGAAAGGACTATCCTACACGTTAATCTGTACTATTTGTAACCCGGAGCAAAGTTCATTAAAATACCAAGGGCAGAGGTCCAAGGAGTGGCGCTGAATCTTCAGCTTCATATATATAATAATCCAAAGGTAAGAAAAAGTAGCCTGCAGCTGGGTCACTACATTGTCGGCCTACTATATTAGTTCTGCAGTCACACTGTCCGTCGGTAGGTGCGCACCTAGGAGGAAACAACAGTGGAAAGTAAAATGTGAAAAGAAGGTAAGGAAAACTAAACTATGACTTCAAAATAGTTTTCTGACCAATTGCAGGTGGTCCTCGACTTACGGCCACAATTGGACCCCAAATTTATGTTGTTAAGTGAAACATTTGCTAAATGAGTTTTGCCCGCTTTTTATGACTTTTCTTACGACAATGTTAAGCTCAAGATCCAAAAAGATTTTGGCAAACTTGAACAAAGGGCCCTACCCAACAAAATGAATTTCAATGTGGAGAAAAGAAAAGTTTTACATTTAGGCAGGAAAAATTAAAGGTATAAGTATAGATTAGGTGAGCCCTGGCTCAAAAACAGGAACTGTGAGAGGGAGTCTTAGTGGATGATCACTTGAATATGAGCCAGCAGTGTGTGCAGCAGCAAAAAAAGCGAATACAATCCTGGGTGGCATAAACAGAGTCATAGAATCAAGATCACATGAAGTATTAATGCCACTTTATAAAACTCTAGTAAGGCCACACCTGAAATACCGCAACCAATTTTGGTCACCGTACTACAAACAGATGCTGAGACCTTGGAAAAAGTTCAGAGAAGAGCAACTAAAATGATCGAAGGCCTGGAGACCAAAACATATGAAAAATGGTTGCAGGAATTGGGTTTGTCTGGTCTAGAGAAAAGAAGAATGAGGGGTGACATGATAGCAATATTTCAATATTTGAGGGGGCTGCCACAAAGAAGAGGGGGTCAACTTATTCTAGAGAGAAGCAACTTGGAATTAAGGAGAAATTTCCTAACAGTGAGGACAATTAACCAGTGGAACAGCTTTCCTCCAGAAGTTGTGGACGGTCCATCCCTGGAGGTCTTTAAGAAGAGACTGAACAGCCACTTATCTGAGATAGTGTAGGTTCTCCTACTTGAGCAGGGGACTGGACACCTCCAACATGAGTTGCATGGCTTACGGGAGAGAAAAGGGCCCTGATTCCCTTCATTAGCTGCAGCCGGGAACACAGTGTTTAAAAAAGGAAGCTGCATGCAGCAAGCTGTTGGGAGCAAATGTGAATTTATCTTATATTATAATGGCTTTTCTGTGTTCTTGGCATCTTCCTAACTGTGTGAATTTTGCTGTGCTTTCAAGTCTGAAATTCCTTCTCCTGCCCTGTCAAGCTAATTACTTCAGTTTGGTTTGTTTGGATTTTTAATTACTGTTCGTATGTATCTTGTTTTGGACTGAATTTTCTATAGTTAAAGACTGTTCCTAGGAGAGTTTAACCTGGACATTGGGAACAAAGTTGGAGATAATAAAAGGACACTTATTGCTTATGTGACTGTGTTGCCTTTGTGCCACACCCCGGGTCATCACAATGTCTGCCTCGGAGTTATTGATTGGTGTTGAGGTTTTCTGAAACACTGACACACCCTGCGGGCCAGTTCCGCCCCCTGGCCTTGAGTTTGACACTCCTGATTCAGATGGTCTGATATTTCAAATTAATGCACATATCCATAGGTATGGTTAGCTATGGGTCCAATACACAAGAAATAAAAAAATTGCTTTCTTTTAAAGACAAATCTTTAGTACCTCTCTTTATTTTCTAGGGGACAGTTAGGTTATTTTTTTTTCTCTAAATATTGTGAAGGAGCTAAAATAGAAACTTACGAATAATTGTAGGCGCCACCAATGTCACAATCACACGCAGAGCATCCATAAACGTGACTTCCAAGACCCCAGTATCCTTCCTACAATGGAAAAGAAATGAAATGGAGTCATTACCCCATTCAATTAAAAATACACAGGTGGTCCTCAACTTACAACCACAATCGAGTCCAAAATTTCTGTTGCTAACTGAGACATTTGTTCAGTGAGTTTTGCCCCGTTTTACGACCTTTCTTGCCACAATGGTAAAGTGAGCTCTGTCTCATTTTACGGCCTTTCTTGTCGCAGAAGTTTAGTTTAGTTTACTTTATGGTCATTGCACATCCTACAATAAAATAAAATGCCATCTTCAGTGTACTATTCAGTAGAATTCAATAGAGCTACTGCCCTGGGATAGAAGCTGTTTTTCAGCCTGCTTGTCTGTTTTATTATTCTGTACTGGCTGCCAGATGGTAATAGTTCAAAAAAAAAAGGTTCCCAGGATGAGATGGATCTTTGAGAATGTTTTGAGCTTTCTTAAGGCAGCGGGAGCTATAAAGCTCTTCCAAAGAGGGGAGAAGGCAACCAATGATCCTCTGGGCAATGACCTTTACCCTCTGGAGTGCTTTCCCATCTGCCCCTGTGCAATTGGCAAACCATACGGAGGTGCAGTAAGTTAAGATACTGTTTATGGTGCAGCGGTAGAAGGTCACCAGCAGTTTTCCATTCAGTTGTTGTTTTCTGAGAAGTCTCAGGTAGCGTAATCTCTGCTGGGCCTTTTTGAGCAGTGTTGCAATGTGGGCACCCCAGGTCAGGTCCTATTTTAGGATAACACCCAGAAACTTAAAACTGGCCACTTGCTCCACTCAGTCTCCCTTGATAAGCAAGGGCTGGATGTCTGATCTGTTCCTTCTGTAGTCCACTATAAGCTCCTTGGTCTTATTGGGGTTGAGGACCAAGTTATTGTCTCCCCACCACGAAAGCAACCAGTCCACCTCATCTCAGTAGGCAGACCCATCCGTCCCCGGAGATGGGTCCCACCACTGTTGTATCATCTGCAAATTTATTAACAGTATTACTAGCATGAGTGGGAATGCAGTTAGATGGATCACTGCAGATGTTAAGTTAATAATCTAGTTGTTAAATGAATCTGGCTTCCCCATTGACTTTACTTATCAGAAGTTCCTAAAACGGGATCACACAACCCCCAGGACACTTCAACCATCATAAATACAAAGCAGTTGCCAAGCGGCTGAATTTTGATCACACGACACAGGGATGCTGCAATGGTTATGAGTGTGAGAAACAGTCATAAGTACTTTGTTTTTAGTGCCATTGTAACTTTGAACAGTCACTAAATAAACTGCTGTAAGTTGAGGATTACCTGACCCTGATATTTGGATTAAAAGAAAGAGCAAAGAGAGGGAACAACACCAGGTGTCATGCATCTGTTGGAGACTAACTCCAAGGGCGAGGAAGAATAGCTGATAGGGAGTGGAGGTGTGGCTCCGGAGGTTGTGGAGGAGGCTGGGGAAGGGCAGAGGCCGGCTGGGCAGTCAGAGGAGGATCCAGGCCCATCCCCTCTCCATCCAAGGGCAAACAGGGAGGAGAGAATAAGGGAGAGACGGGAATGGCGTGGTCTACAGGGAGGAAAGGGCGTTGATCCTCTTCATGGGCTGCGGCTGTGACAACTGGTTAAAAGGATGGACATGCGTATGGGCCAGTGCTGGAAACAAAGCGTGGAAATATTTCTGGTCTGTCATTCCTCTCTGAATTTGGCGTCCTTCCCAGTGGACGTCTTCAAGCCCTTATCTTGCCTGGTTCCCTTAATTGCTTCAATGTGGTTTTGTTGTTTTTATTCTTTAGAATTTATAGGCATTTTTAGTTTAAATGGCATTTCCTCCTTTTCGTAACTGCTCGTGGGGGAGTTTTTTGTCTCCAGTTAAGGATATTTGGAGCTTTGAAGCAAAGTGAAGGAATAAAAGGGGCTTCACCTGTTTTTGTGACTGTGTTTATTTTGTATCACACCAAGGAAAGTCCTAAGCAAGATACTCTAGTTGAAAAACTTCTCAATACATACAAGACAGTGTTCACAACGTTGTCCAGTGACAAATTCCTGGCACACACACTTTCCTGATTCTGGGTTGCAAAGAGAGAAAGGCAAACTTCCCTTTGGGTCACACCTGCAAGCTGAAAAGACAGAATTCCAGATCATCATTTGGATGAGAAATGGATGGCAGCACAAACGCTCTGATGGCACTGGTGGATTTCCAAATTGTTTCCTACCGGTTCTATTCGTGATTCTCTGCCGCGCGAATCAGCTGAGGTAATAAACAAGGGAATATAGGAGAGGAAAGGCAGGGGCGGGTGGGAAGAGCTAACCAGTTCTTCGAACTTGTTCTGACCAAGGCTTCCTGAGACCATAATTAAGCACACGCATAGTCCAAACAACATCTGTTTTATTTCAACATTGGGAATTATGTTCATTCCCAGCCCGTAATGAGTCTCAAATAGTGTCTCGAGATAAGCACCCATCTTTATCTCCTTTGAATTGCTGCCAAAAACTAAAATGCCAAATTAACTGAAAAAAACCCAACCAAAGTACAAAGTCCACACAGAGCTTCAAGTTTAATCTGAACAGAGTGAATGACTTTGCTTCCTGCAAAGGTTTCTCTACCTTTGCACTTCCTTTATACCTTAGGGGAGGGGCAATCACCTCCAAGCCTTACTCCTGAGTCGCCCCTTTTGTCTTAGCTGCTCTTGCCTTCTGGCAGCTCTGCACACACGCGCACTGGGAAAAGGGTCCCCTTGTTCCTCTGCCTTGCTGCTGCCAGACTCTGGAAGCTCGGAAGGCAGCACCCTACTCCCAGATGGTCCCGGCCCCATCTCTGTATTGGACACAGGATCCTCATCTGAGTCCTCCCCAGACTCCTGGACTGGACCCTGTTCTTCCCCACTGTCCAATTTTGCTTCCATCCGCACAGGCTGCTGACAAACCACAACAGATCTAATCAAAATTTCTGCTACTGATCAGAACCAATCTGAACTGGCTGAATACCACCTCTACCTGATGGGTTAGTCAAAACCATGTAGCAATACCAGTGAAATTGTAGAATTTCAAGGAGGGCAACTGATATGTTGAAATACAACTCATTCTTCTGTTTTTTTTTCCACCCTGACTTAAGTCTACAAGACCTGAACTGCAAGAAAATAAAAGAAAAATGCGTACGCTGACAGCCAAGTGGATCGCTTCCATTGATTCCATAGTAGTGCGGCTTGCACTTGTCACAACGGACGCCTTCAACGTTGGCTTTGCAATGACACTGGCCAGCAATGCTTCCAAGGACAGGATCCGAATGATCCTGGCACAGCCCATTTCGCAGAGTGCCTTCTGGATTGCAGTCACAAGCTAGGGGCAGACAAGACAAAAACTGATATACTACTGTGTTTCCTCGAAAATAAGACCGGATCTTATATTAATTGTTGTCCAAAAGATGCATTAGGGCTTATTTTCCAGTTAGGTCTTATTTTCAGGGAAATACAGTACTAAATGTGTCCATCTGCCTGTCAATCTTAACTGGGGCTTATTTTTAGGTTAGGACTTATATTACTTTCCAGTTGGGTCTTATTTTCAGGGAAACAGGGTAGGTATAAGGGAGCAATGTAACGTTTGGAAACATCCAGTGGTGGGATTCAGATTGGTTTACCACCACTTTGGTGGGTCTGCTTGGTGGGTATGCTTTGCACATGTGCATGGCAAATGCACGCTTTGCGCATGCACGGAGGCTTTCCTACTGCCCTTCTGCACTCCTGCACTCTCCCTGTCTCTTCAACAGCTGACATGCAGCAATGCAGCTGAGCATTAAAATCAGGAAATAAAGGTCAGTATGGAGCCGAGATGGGTGGGTGGGCTCAGCATTTGATCTTTGGAGTGAATCGGTTCGCTCCCAGATGATCTTCGGAGCTATCAGTTCGGCTGAACCAGGCTGAACCAGGCTGAACCAGTAGAATTTCACTCTTCGAAACATCACCCAAATTAATACAAGTCGCGTCAAATATAGCAAGTCCTAGGAATTGTCTGAATCCAACCCTCTGGATCAGGGGTGTCCAACTCAATTTCATAGAGGACAGTATCAGAGTTGTGTTTGATCTCGGGGGGGGCAGATGGACATGGGCGGGATGGGCATGGCCAGCTTGACATCACTCATGTCAGGGGGCACCTGTGGTCGCCTGGGCAGGGCTAGGGGATCCTCCTGCAGCCCTCTGCCAGTCCAAACAGAGCCCGGGAGGGCTGCCCACTACCAGTCCTTTGCTATTTCCTGGGTAGCCCTGTGGACCATATCTAAGCACCCTGGGCCTTGAGTTTGACACCTCTGCTCTGGATCCTCTCACAAGCACTTCACACTTACGGATACACGCATGAGGATCCACCATGGCCTTCTGGGGATCCTGATAAAAGAACGGCTTGCACCGTTCACAATGCTGCCCCGTTGTGTTGTGCTGACAGTCTTCGCAAACTCCGCCACTGGTACGGTTGTTAGCAAGGTACACGGCCATATCAAAATGGCAGCTCTCTGAATGACCGTTGCATTCACATTCTGAAAGAGAAAGCAAACGTAATGGGGCCCTTGCACATCAATTAGAACCAGATACCTCACTAAATAGTAGTAATAATTTCTGTCTGCCTGTAGGAGATGACCAGGCTGAAGAGTCAAACCCATCATAAGTTACGAGTCCCTGCGCACCCACAAGAGATCTAACTCCAGCCCACCCTGAATTCCTTTCGATTCTTATCTCCCGCTCATTTTCTTTGCCTGTTAGTTGGCCAGATTCTTGTAGAGGACTCAAGCTTGCAATAAATCTTTATACTGATTTGAACTGCCTGAAACTCCTGATTTTCCCAGCACTTGACACCGCCACACCAATGGAGATTCAGCAGGGTGATGGGTGGTTATATTATCCATAAATCTGGAAAAAATTAAGCCAATCACTGGAATACTTCGGCAAGCATTTTCCTGGGATCCTTCAGCCGGCCTCCAAGGGATGTCATTGTAGAAATCTTTGCATCGTTCACAGGACAAACCGTCTGTGTTGTGTTCACAAAGGCAGTTCCCGTGGACCTGAAACACGTCAATGAAAATGATGGAAGTGCAAGTTGGCATCATGGCTTTGCATTTTCTGATGTGGCCTGCTGAAAATGAACTTAGGACAAGGGGTGAACAAACAGCATGTCCACAATAAAATGGGTACATTCATGTGCGTATGCCATTACCCATCATTATGAAACTGCCGTGGTGGCACAGTGGTTAGAACGCAGTATTGCAGGCTAATTCTGCTGACTGCCGACTGCATCAATTTAGCAGTTCAATTCTCATCAGTTCAAGGTTGGCTCAGCCTTCCATCCTTCCAAGGTTGGCAAAATGAGGACCCACATTGTTGGGGACAATACGCTGACTCTGTGAACCGCTTAGAAAAGGCTGTGAAGCACTATGAAGTGGTATAAAAGTCTAACTGCTATTGTGTTCTCTCTCCGTGTGTGTGCCTTTGTCTGTCTGTCTGTCTGTCTTTCTGTCTGTCTGTCTGTCTATTTATCTCAGGTTGATTCAGCCTTCCATCCTTCCGAGGTCAGTAAAATGAAGAGCCAGATAGTTGGGGGCAATAGGCTGACTCTGTAAACCATTTAGAGAGGGCTGTAAAGCACTGTGAAGCAGTATATAAGTCTAAGTGCTATCACTAGTGTTGCCATCTTAAGAGGCATCATCTCAGAGCATCCATCTTGCAGAACATTTGGACACAAGAATGACAGTTAAAATGTATTGTGATAACCTTATTGGTACTCCAATATCTATTTCTGAGTTGCACTTAGGAATATTGGTGGGATGGGAAGTATCAGGATCACATGTTAAATTCCAGCTAAGCTGATTTAAAGGGACGCAGTGGCTCAGCAGCTAAGACACTGAGCTTGTCAATCAGAAAGATTGGCAGTTCGAATCCCTAGCACTGCGTAATGGAGCGAGCTCCCGTTACTTGTCCCAGCTTCTGCCAACCTAGCAGTTCGAAAGCATGTAAAAAATGCAAGTAGAAAAATAAGGACTCTTTTGGTGGGAAGGAAACAGGGTTCCATGCGCCTTCGAAGGTGTTTAGTCATGCCGGCCACATGACCAGGGAGACGTCTTTGGACAGCGCTGGCTCTTTGGCTTTGTAACAGAGATGAGCACCGCCCCCTAAAGTCAGGAACATCTAGCACGTATGTGGAGGGGAACCTTTACCTTTACCATAAGCTGATTTATTGTTCATGCCTATACACATGAATAATCACTACATTGGTGCTAGATAAGAACAGAATTCAAGAGGGGTTGGATTTGGATCATTTGTGGCAACGTAACAATTCTAGGCTAAATCTTCTCTTGACTCCACTCCCCGTGATCTCTCCTATAGTATTACTGCAACATTTCAAGACAACTGAAGTTTGTGCTCAAATGGAATCTTTTGGAAAGACAACTCTTTTGACTCACCATCCCAGGCTCGTGGAAGACATCCCCTCGCAGATTTTCCCCAGGGCCACAGTGGCTGGTGTGGCCGTTGCACATGCAACTCCCGTGAACAACCATTTCATAAAGCGCATAGTAGTAGTTTCTCAGAAGACTCTGTTTCTTTTCTCCAAGTAAAGTATCTCCCAGCATGTGAAGCTTTGTGAAGTTGATTCTCAGATTTGTAAAAGCAACCAGCTCTGCGATGAAAATTTGGGGAAATGTGTAAAGTAGTTTAGCTCAAAATAATATCCATAATGGATATAATCCATATTATATCCACATATTTTTATAACAATGTCTCTAACAGTAGCTGATGAGGTAAAAAGACCTCATCCCTGACCTATCGAGCTCTTAACTCCTTCAGTTCGGTTTTTGTATAGTTCTTAATATTTTAACTTTGTGTTGTTTAATAATTTGTTTTATAACCTGTAAACCACCCAGAGTTATCTTGTAACCTTGGAGTTAATCTGTGCTGATCTGAGGGCTGTTGGAGAGTTGTTGGAGTCTTTTGGGGGCTGGTTGATTGTGTCTTTTGCATAGTCTATAGTAAAGGTTCCCCTCGCGCATATGTGCTAGTCGTTTCCGGCTCTAGGGGGCCGGGGCTCATCTCTGTTAAAAAGCCAAAGAACCAGCACTGTCCAAAGACATCTCCGTGGTCATGTGGCCGGCATGACTAAATGCCTTCGAAGGTGCACGGAACGCTGTTCTCTTCCCACCAAAGTGGTCCCTATTTTTTCTACTTGCATTTTTCACTGCTTTCGGATTGCTAGGTTGGCAGAAGCCGGGACAAGTAACGGGAGCTCAATCCCTTACACAGCGCTAGGGATTCGAACCGTTGAACTGCCGATCTTTCTGATCAACAAGCTCAGCGTCTTAGCCACTGAGCCACCACATCCCTCTATAGATGTTGTTAATGTGTATGTGTCTAGACCAAGAGAAAAAGACTCCAGAAATTCTCTGGCATTTAACTCCAAGGTTAATTCCAGACCAACAATCGAGTAAGCATTGTACCCCAATGAAGAAACTGCTAAAGAGCCATCAGTAAACAGCCCAACCAAAGAATCACTAAGACTGCCCCCATCCACATGGATAGGCAAGCCACCACAATATGAACTGACAGCAAACAGCACTCCTTACTAGCACCGATGATGTTATCTAGATTGGTCATGAAACGTCTGCAAGAAAATCACCAAACTCAGATCACACCAAAGACCCCATAGGTGTCTTCACCCTCCTCCTGCTCCTCCTCCTGCTCCTCCTGCTCTTCCCCCTGCTCCTCCTGCTGCTCCTCTTCCTCCTCCTGCTCCTGCTCCTCCTCCTCCTCCTGCTCTTCCTCCTGCTCCTCCTGCTACTGCTGTTCCTCCTCCTGCTCCTCTTCCTCCTCCTGCTCCTCCTCCTCCTGCTCCTCCTGCTCCTCCTGCTGTTGCTGCTCCTCCTGCTGCTCCTCTTCCCCTCCTGCTCCTCCTCCTGCTCCTCCTCCTGCTCCTCCTGCTACTGCTGCTCCTCCTGCTGCTCCTCTTCCTCCTCCTGCTCCTCCTCCTC